ATGTAATATGCAAGTAACCATCTGGACCAATTTGGATGTTCACTTCTTTATTTTCCTGTAAATGCTCAGGTAATGATTATAACTGGAACTCAACGTATTATATCCTGACCATCATAAAGAGCTAAACACTAGTAATGACTAAAACATCAATCTAATTTCCCACCAACATATAGTTTTTTTTTTATAGTAGCATTTCTTAATGCTGCGTACATATATTTGAGATACTGGTGATTGGGTTAACTTGACATGTGATTAGAGAAATTCCAGATTGATGGCATAGGAGTGCTTTGAGTGCTTTATCAATGAAAATGTTCAATACATAACATTCTCGTCTTGTGGGCTGTCTCTAAATATGAGTTAAGGAATCCATGTGGCTGAACATTGTGCTCAGCAGTTATATGTTTGTGTCCCATGTGTCACACTGCCATCACGTCAGACATAAGCTGGTTGCACTAGCTTCACTCCCTCTATGCCGTCAGTTGGGTTAACTAGGTGCACATTAGATCAAGACCTAAGCTGATATGAGCTCTGCTGGGGCTGCCAAAACTATAATGAGATGCAGTTAAACTTATAACACACTCACACACACCACCCCAACAAAAATACCCTGAAAACCCTGAAAGTTATTTAGGTACGGTTTAAAGTAGTTATAAAGATGCTGACATTTTCTATTAACACCAACACCATTTCCCCCATTGTGTCTTATAGATGATCAGACATACAGTACTGTAAACAGGTTGCTTAGACTTCACTCCCTTATAACAAGAGGGAAACACCAATACCTTGAGCTGAGCTCAGCACACTGACATCTTAGCCTGGTACCTACACAACATACTACTAACACCATAACACACATAATGCTAATTGTCTCAGTATCATTTACAGTTTTGATGCTGTTAATACCATTTCCAGCGATGACAATTTAATTGAAGATGGTATACATAGGCATTCATATTATTGATCATTCAAATAATATTTCTGGATCACCCAAATATGTACAGAAAATCAATTCACATTTTATTTGCCACATGCGCCGAATACAACAGGTTTAGACCTTACAGTGAAATGCTTACTTACAAGCCCTTAACCAACAATGCAGTTTTTAAGAAAAAATAAAAAGTGTTAAGTAAAAAATAGATCAGTAAAAAATAAAATATAGCAAATAATTAAAGAGCAGCAGTAAAATAAAATAACAGTAGGGAGGTGATATACAAAACAACCAGTCATGAACTGTGAGTCTTGAACCCATCCACTCTGTTTCAGTTAGCATTACTGGGATGGACAATAACATTGACACACCGGTCACATGTCTGGCCATTCATGTTACTGTAAAGACCTGCTGATGACCCACATGACTGGGGTCGCACTCATAAGCTGTAGTTGCAGGTCACAGACTGTCACGCTCGTTCATCGACGGGTCAGACCAAGGCGCAGCGTGATATGCGTACATGTTTATTAAATATTAAACACAACGACAAAACAACAAACAAAACGAAACGTGAAGTCCAAGGCAGCACAACACAACATTCCTTAACTGGAACAAGATCCCACAACCCACTAGTGCCAATAGGCTGCCTAAATATGGACCCCAATCAGAGACAACGAGCGACAGCTGCCTCTGATTGGGAACCACACCGGCCAACATAGAAATAGACGTACTAGATCTAAACCTAGAAAATACAACATAGAACATCACAACATAGAAAGTCACACCCTGACTCAACAAATAAGAGTCCCCAGAGTCAGGGCGTGACAGTACCCCCCCCTCCAAAGGTGCGGACTCCGACCGCACAACCTTTACTTAACAGGGTAGGGGCCGGGTGGGCATTCCGCCTATTCTCCGCCTCCCTGTTGCGCCCCTGGTCTGGTCTGGACCTCGGCACGCTGCTTCCCCTCTCCTTCCCCTCTCCTTCCTCCCACTATACTCCAAGCCCTGTCTGGACCCTGGTGTGGGAGACCCCGAACCTGGAGAGGGGCTGACGTCTGGGTCTGGACTGGAGCCGCTGACCGGAGCTGGACCGGGCACCGGTGGAGCGGACTACTCAGGCTCCGGACTGGAGCCGCTGACCGGATCTGGACTGGACCCCGGTGGAGCGGACTGCTCTGGCTCCGGAGTGGAGCCGCTGACCGGAGCTGGATCAGGCACCGGTGGAGCGGACTGCTCTGGCTCCGGAGTGGAGCCGCTGACCGGAGCTGGATCAGGCACTGGTGGAGCGGACTGCTCTGACTCCAGACTGGAGCTGCTGACTAGTGCCGGACCAGGCACCGGTGGAACGGGCACGGGTCGTGCCGGACTGGACACACTCACCACTGGTCTGGTGCGAGGAGCAGGCACGGGCCGAACCGGACTAGGAACATGCACCACTGGCTTGGTGCGAGGAGCAGAAACAGGCCGGGCCGGGCTGGCGACGCGCACCACTGGCTTGGTGCGAGGGGCAGGAACAGGCCGGGCCGGGCTGGCGACGCGCACCACTGGCTTGGTGCGAGGGGCAGGAACAGGCCGGGCCGGGCTGGCGACGCGCACCCCTGGCTTGGTGCGAGGAGCAGGAACGGGCCGGGTCGGGCTGGCGACGCGCACCACTGGCTTGGTGCGAGGGGCAGGAACAGGCCGGACCGGGCTGGCGACGCGCACCACTGGCTTGGTGCGAGGGGCAGGAACAGGCTGGGCCGGGCTGGCGACGCGCACCCCTGGCTTGGTGCGAGGAGCAGGAACGGGCCGGGTCGGGCTGGCGACACGCACCACTGGCTTGGTGCGAGGAGCAGGAACGGGCCGGACCGGACTGCGAAGGCGGACTGGAGGTCTGGAACGGAGAGCTGGCACAACCCGTCCTGGCTGGCTACCCACTTTCGCACTACACGTGCGGGGTGCTGGCACATGACGCACTGGGCTGTGCACGCGTACTGGCGATACAGCTCGTAGAACCGGCGCAGGATATGCGGGACCGAGGAGGCGTACTGGAGACCAGGAGCGTTGAGCCGGCACAACCCGTCCTGGCTGGATGCCCATCTTCGCACGGCACGTGCGTGGTGCTAGCACAGGACGTACAGGACTGTGCCGGCACACTGGCGACACAGTACGTAGCTCCGCATAACACGGAGCCTGCCCAGTCACACGCCTCCTCGCGTGAGTACGGGGAGTTGGCTCTGCTCTAACGCTAGGCTCCGCCAACCACCCTTTTAGCCCCCCCCAAAAAAAAATATTGGGGCTGTCTCTCGGGCTTCCTCCTCGACCGGCATCCTCTGTGTTGCCGTTGCTCCTCTCCTGCCTGGGCATCTACCTTCGCCCATGGCCCTTTCCCCGCGAATATCTCTTCCCATGACCACAATTTGCCCACCTGTGACATGGCTATTCGCTCTTCCTGGGCACGCTGCTTGGTCCTCGTTTGGTGGGATCTTCTGTCACGCTCGTTCATCGACGGGTCAGACCAAGGCGCAGCGTGATATGCGTACATGTTTATTAAATATTAAACACAACAACAAAACAACAAACAAAACGAAACGAAACGAAACGTGAAGTCCAAGGCAGCACAACACAACATACCTTAACTGGAACAAGATCCCACAACCCACTAGTGCCAATAGGCTGCCTAAGTATGGACCCCAATCAGAGACAACGAGCGACAGCTGCCTCTGATTGGGAACCACACCGGCCAACATAGAAATAGACGTACTAGATCTAAACCTAGAAAATACAACATAGAACATCACAACATAGAAAGTCACACCCTGACTCAACAAATAAGAGTCCCCAGAGTCAGGGCGTGACACAGACATATCAGGATAAGTTTACCCAATTGAGCCATTTACAGTGGATGTGAACCTTGCTACTGGGGATAGTTGAGTTCAACAAAGGGTAATGTGATTCAACTCCAGGATTGTGAATTATGGTGATCACTGAGTAGGCATAAGTACAATCAGCACTGTGTACATGTCTAGGTGAAAAGTTCAAAGCAGCTTTAAGAGTTATCTGGGGAATTGTGCCAAGGCAGAAAAACTATTGACACTCATTGACCCCTTCAAGCCCACGGTGATCAACAGTAAGAATGTTTTTCTATCTGCACTACAGTAACTTATTCAACTGGTACATATTGTATAACAAGGTTTCCTTGTTTAAATCACTGCCTTCCGTAACCAATACTGAAATAAAAATTAAAGACTTGCTTTACAACGCTACGTAAAAAACTAGACATCTGTCAATGACACAGAGTGAAAACATGGCAATGTTGACATGGTCTGAGCAGGGTCATCTAATATGGGTGTCAATATTGGCAAAGACTCTGTGGAAACATGAATCATACTCATCAATTTGTTCCAAATTAGCCAACTTTTCTAATTACGCTGAGCATTAGCCAGCTCTAGTAGATGAGTGTTTGATGCTGTAACAGAGCTGTCAGAGGAAAGCCATCACTCTCACAGCACAGCACTTACTCAGCTCAATAACTGAATTAATTGAGGTCCAATGACTAAAACAGCAGATGGCCCAGTAATCTGCCATGAGACTGTTACAATGGAGAGACAATTCATCTCATCTCCCTATGCTAGCTACAGGGACAGCCCAGAGCTGCTTTACAGACACGAATACCCTGCTCTAGAGGTGGGCTGAACTTTGCACACCTTTCACCCTGCTCATTCACATATCTTGTTTACCACAAACCATTAAGTCAGTGAACAGAGATACTGTACCTTATAGCAATATTGGCCATTGCTTTAGTGTCAACTGCAATAGGTGAAATAAGACGGTAGTATTAGTATTAATTTAATGGAAATCATGTAACATCATTACTTTGGCAACAATGGACATATTATATCCAGAAATCTCAATCTAATCCTTGGCTAATCTTAAACTGTATTGAGCGGTATTATGCAAAGCTTGATGTCATTGTGCCTGTATGATGTACACACTACTGCCTCATTAGACCCTAGAAAATATGTCAAACTCGTCTGACGTAGTTAGCCTCTTTATCTTCAAGACAGCTTGTCTGGTATTTAAGTAGCGATGACCATAATCCTATTCAGCACATTGTGAAGTGATCAGGGTGAGAAGGAGAGCCAGACCAAGGCAGGAAGGAGCCAACAGGAGGTTTCCTCCAAGTCAGGTGAGAGAGGTAGTACACACAAAACAAGAAAGAGAACAATATCATCCCTTCACCAGTGTGTCTTTGCAGCATGGGGAATTCTAAGAGTGGGGCACTGTCGAAGGAACTTCTGGAGGACCTGAAGTCCAATACTAAGTACAACGAGGCTGAGCTGTGTGTCTGGTACCAGTCCTTCCTCAAAGAATGCCCCACAGGCAGGATCACCAAGGAGCAATTTGAGGGCATCTATGCCAGCTTCTTCCCCAATGCAGACCCTACTGAGTACGCGCGGCATGTCTTTAGGAGCTTTGACACCAATGCAGATGGTCAACTGGACTTTAAGGAGTACATTGTGGCCCTACACCTTACCTCCGGAGGCAAGACCCTTGCAGAAGCTAGAGTGGGCCTTCGCCCTCTACGACGTGGATGGAAACGGCACCATCAGCAAAAACGAGATCCAAGAGATTGTTAAGGTACAAAAACAAACCGTTTCTCTGCCTCTAGTGTGAAGAAACAGTGATGGTGGTGGTTACTGAACCACTCAGTATACAAAATGGACATAAACAAAATCTTAGTTACAACCAAAAAGTACAAAAAGATTAATCAAATTAAAAGCAGAACATATATTATTTTTTATTTGGCATATTTCATACATTTGTGAAATGATTAGGTGAATTGTTTAATATTCTACGTATTCAGTCATCCCGTAAAAATATGATGGGAGAACAATCTTTATGTAGTCTGCATTTCATGAACTGTGCTATATAGTACATGTACTGTATTCAGTATTTAATCTACATTAGAAAGTGACATGTTTTTCCTTATTGTTTGATTGCTTTACAGTCAATATTTAACATGATCCCCGAAGAAGACCAAAAGGACCTGCCTGAAGATGAGAACACACCAGATAAGAGAGCAGACAAAGTCTGGGACTTTTTTGGAAAGAAAGAAGATGGTAATTTTGATTGTGAAGAATTTTCTAAATGTGTTATGACGAGAACTTCTGGCATGAGAGACTACTTCTGAGTTTTGCACAATTAGACACATTAAATAAACAACCATAATAATGTTGATTCAGTAATGACCATTTCTATGTTTCCTTTCCAGACAAGATTGCAGAGAGGGAATTCATTCAAGGAGTGATGGACAACAAGGACATCCTACGGTTGATTCAGTTTGATGAGCCCCAGAAAATAAAGGACAAACTGAAGGAGAAGAATCAATAGATTTCTGACAAAATCATTCTTCTTAATTCTATAAGACTGTTCAAAGCTTTACTGTTTACAAACCCAACTCTCCTGCCAGACCTGGGCTCTTTGTGTACTAGACAACATTGGCATACACATTGAAGTACCGCATATTGTGGTGGATGACCTGTTTGTCCATGAGCCACCTGGGCTTTTCTTCCCACTCAAATAACTGTTCTGTACTCTAGAGTTATGGGTATTCTTTTCTATTTCGTAATGAAATAATAGTCTCCAAGATTCTATTGTCTGCTGCTGTGTTCACTTGCATTAATTAGTTTAATAAAGAGAAAGACTCCAGGAAAGGACCCACTGGGCACACACTGGTTGAATCAATGTTGTTTCCATTACATTTAAATTGAATTACTTCAATCCAACGTAGAATAGACGTTGAATTGATGTTTGTGCCCTGTGGGGAGCTCCTTATGAAGGGAATTAGGCTGAAGTTAGCAATCCCTGTCTTACTATCAATCCTATTAGTATGTGAAGGTCAGTTTAGAAAAATCCTGGCAGAGGTTTCTTATTAAGGTAATCAGGTCTATGGACTGTGTCGTATAATGTGCTTAGCAGGACTGAAACCTCATACAATGTACAGTATTCAACTGGTAGATCAAAGGAAGAGGAGTCTTTTTCTTGAATATTGTTGGAATTTTGTTGATGCTGTCAGAGACGGCTGGAAATTATATAATAAAAAACGTTGTGAAAAACAACATTATAAACGGGTTTCCAAAAACTTTTAAATATATATATATACTGCTATATTTAATCTTTGAGTGAACATGCAGATTGGTCTCTTCAGGTAGCTATGTTTTTAAAGGGATTTAAGTAGATAAAATTAGTAAATGTGATAAAATGTTTGTTGAAAGATTCAATACATTCCAAAAAAGAGCTATACAGATGTGCTTTCACAAATTGTCTGCCTGGTCCTGAGGGAATGAGATTTTATTCTTGGTTGCATTTTTATTTACTTTCAATAAACGTTTATTTAAGTGTGTAGAGTTGTTATTATGTTTTGAAACATGGTATCACCCTGGATTTTATCGTATAAAACACCCTATGTTGGTTTATATTGTTAAAGAGACATACTATAGTATCAAATACAATAACTGTCTTTGTTTACAGGACCAATAGTAAACATATAACTAAATTACCATAATTGCAATCTAAGAGAATGGCTCAATAGTGTTGATGAGATAAGATTGAGGAGCAGCCTCAAACTATGAGAATAGAAAGGTTCAGAACTTTTGTGAAACGTCACAGCACAGTTGAAAAATATATGGCAAGTAGAAATCAAAACTAGAGGTAGATGGGAGGGGATAGATGGGAGGGGTTGAAGGTAGCTGACGGGTGGGTCTAAGGAAAAGGGATAGCTAAGGTACAATGTAGCATGCCCGTAAAATTTACATTTACATTACATTTACATTTTAGTCATTTAGCAGACGCTCTTATCCAGAGCGACTTACAGGAGCAATTAGGGTTAAGTGCCTTGCTTAAGGGCACATCGACAGATTTTTCACCTAGTCGGCTCAGGGATTAGAACCAGCGACCTTTCGGTTACTGGCACAACGCTCTTACCCACTAAGCTACCTGCCGCCCCAAAATGTATATGTATAAGCTGGAAGTAGAAGTCTAAGTATTGTTGTCCATTAGTTTACTCCAATTAGGGAAGGGTGGAATATTTAGGGGAAAATAATAAAGAATAAAAAAATATACACTGCTCAAAAAAATAAAGGGAACACTTAAACAACACAATGTAACTCCAAGTCAATCACACTTCTGTGAAATCAAACTGTCCACTTAGGAAGCACCACTGATTGACAATAAATTTCACATGCTGTTGTGCAAATGGAATAGACATCAGGGGGAAATTATAGGCAATTAGCAAGACACCCCCAATAAAGGACTGGTTTTGCAGCTGGTGACCACAGACCACTTCTCAGTTCCTATGCTTCCTGGCTGATGTTTTGGTCACTTTTGAATGCTGGTGGTGATTTCACTCTAGTGGTAGCATGAGACGGAGTCTACAACCCACACAAGTGGCTCAGGTAGTGCAGCACATCCAGGATGGCACATCAATGCGAGCTGTGGCAAGAAGGTTTGCTGTGTCTGTCAGCGTAGTGTCCAGAGCATGGAGGCGCTACCAGGAGACAGGCCAGTACATCAGGAGACGTGGAGGAGGCCGTAGGAGGGCAACAACCCAGCAGCAGGACTGCTACCTCCGCCTTTGTGCAAGGAGGAGCAGGAGGAGCACTGCCAGAGCCCTGCAAAATGACCTCCAGCAGGCCACAAATGTGCATGTGTCTGCTCAAACGGTCAGAAACAGACTCCATGAGGGTGGTATGAGGGCCCGACGTCCACAGGTGGGGGTTATGCTTACAGCCCAACACCGTGCAGGACGTTTGGCATTTGCCAGAGAACACCAAGATTGGCAAATTCGCCACTGGCGCCCTGTGCTCTTCACAGATGAAAGCAGGTTCACACTGAGCACGTGACAGACGTGACAGAGTCTGGAGATGCCGTGGAGAACGTTCTGCTGCCTGCAACATCCTCCAGCATGACCGTTTTGGTGGTGGGTCAGTCATGGTGTGGGGTGGCATTTCTTTGGGGGGCCGCACAGCCCTCCATGTGCTCGCCAGAGGTAGCCTGACTGCCATTAGGTACCGAGATGAGATCCTCAGACCCCTTGTGAGACCATATGCTGGTGCGGTTGGCCCTGGGTTCCTCCTAATGCAAGACAATGCTAGACCTCACGTGGCTGGAGTGTGTCAGCAGTTCCTGCAAGAGGAAGGCATTGATGCTATGGACTGGCCCGCCTGTTCCCCAGACCTGAATCCAATTGAGCACATCTGGGACATCATGTCTCGCTCCATCCACCAACGCCACGTTGCACCACAGACTGTCCAGGAGTTGGCGGATGCGTTTCCCAATCAGAGGCAGCTGTTGCTCGTTGTCTCTGATTGGGGAGCATACTTAGGCAGCCTATTGGCAATTAGGTGTTGTGTGTCCAGTCCGGCACGGCCCGGCCCGTTCCTGCTCCTCGCACCAAGCCAGTGGTGCATGTTCCTAGTCCAGTTCGGCCCGTGCCTGCTCCTCGCACCAGACCAGTGGTGAGTGTGTCCAGTCCGGCACGGCCCGTGCCCGTTCCACCGGTGCCTGGTCCGGCACCAGTCAGCAGCTCCAGTCCGGAGCCAGAGCAGTCTGCTCCACAGGGGTCCAGTCCAGAACCGGTCAGCGGCTCCACTCCGGAGCCAGAGCAGTCCACTCCACCGGGGTCCAATCCAGCTCCGGTCAGCGGCTCCACTCCGGAGCCAGAGCAGTCCGCTCCACCGGTGCCTGATCCAGCTCCGGTCAGCGGCTCCACTCCGGAGCCAGAGCAGTCCGCTCCACCGGGGTCCAGTCCAGATCCGGTCAGCGGCTCCACTCCGGAGCCAGAGCAGTCCGCTCCACCGGTGCCCAGTCCAGCTCCGGTCAGCGGCTCCAGTCCGGAGCCTGAGCAGTCCGCTCCACCGGTGCCAGGTCCAGCTCCGGTCAGCGGCTCCAGTCCAGACCCAGACGTCAGCCCCTCTCCAGGTTCGGGGTCTCCCACACCAGGGTCCAGACAGGGCTTAGAGTATAGTGGGAGGAAGGAGAGGGGAAGCAGCGCACCGAGGTCCAGACCAGACCAGGGGCGCAACAGGGAGGCGGAGAATAGGTGGTTGTCACGCCCGGAGCCGGATCCACCTCCGAGTCCGCACCTTTGGGGGGGGGGGTACTGTCACGCCCTGACTCTGGGGACTCTTATTTGTTGAGTCAGGGTGTGATTTTCTATGTTGTATTTTCTATGTTTGTGATCTAGGTTTTGTAGTTCTATGTTTGGCCGGGTGTGTTTCCCAATCAGAGGCAGCTGTCGCTCGTTGTCTCTGATTGGGGAGCATACTTAGGCAGCCTATTGGCAATTAGGTGTTGTGGGATCTTGTTCCGTGTGAGGTTTGTTGTGTGTACCTTAGGACGTCACGTGTCGTTGGTTTATTGTTTTGTCGTTGTGTTTATTCGTTAAATAAACATGTATGCATATCACGCTGCGCCTTGGTCTGACCCGTCTATGAACGAACGTGACAGCTTGCATCATTCTCTCTCTAAAGCCTGATTTGGCTCCCAGTAAAGCATGGCCTGTTTTGATGTCAGTATTCCCCCACCTGGCCTATCTCCCTGGATCTCCCTGGCCAATCCACAGACGGTCGGAGGGGAGGGGATTGACTCTAAAAGGCCGGGGCAAAAGGTTGAGTTTCATCTGCTTATTGGGATGAATCCAATTCATTTAAACATGTCCCAGAACTTGAAGTAAGCCATACGTAAGCCAGTATATGATAATGAAACAAAACCCTTTTAAGTCTTGTCAAATCGTATTTCCAAGGAAACTATTTATTGTAGACACAGCATTCTACAGTATATTGTCTGGACAAAGGTCACCAATGATTTGACATTTCTTTAAAGATTGGAAACATTTGAATTGATGTACATGAGAAATGGAAATCAGTAACCAAAAGGCAATTAAATCAACATTAACATTACTACAAAATGACTGATTTAGTTAAGTACATTAACTTCTAACGTAAGAACTTTACCATAACACATATAATATACAACATTGACACATACTGTAGCAGGATAAGTTATACAATAAGTACAACATTTCAATCGGTAGTAGTTTGGGATAGAATAATGCAAATCAAAATCATGCTGAATCTGATTTGATTTTTAAAAATCATTTGAATGGTATTTTCATATTTTCTCATATAAAAATAATGCGGATAAGGCATGTATATACTGAATAGATTTTGTACCGGTAAACTTTTCTCTGTATGCATGTCTTGTCATCGTGAATGTATTATCCAGATTTGAATTTGAAAGGAATGATAGTTTGAGGAGATGGTCCAATAACACAATAAATCCCTTCTCTGTTGTACTTCCAGAATAACTAACCCACAGCAAAATACAGAGAGACAGACAGACAGACAGACAGACACACAAACATGCAGTCTTTTATATTATGTTATGTACGTTTGTTTAGGTGGATATGTTGGCTAAAGGATATGCTATTATCTGTGAATAGCATACTGTATGAAATGTATGGACAAGTACAGGTTCCAGTGCAAGTAACACTGACCACTTTTTCTGATGAGCTTTGCGAGTCATTTAAATGTGACTTGGAGCTTCCAACTGAGCACTCCTCTTGGATATACAAAGTGTACTGTATTTAGGATAAATGCCAAATAGCAATTCCCAACTCTAAGCAATGGTTGACTCACAAAGTGCCCGTGCAAATAAATGAATGATTTTAGAATCTGTTGACTATTATCCTTATGTGAAACACCTTGTATAATTCATTGACAAACAACAAGGTAAACATTTAGCTGGCCGAAAGTGCAAGGCCACTTAAACAGTTAACAGCAAAATACATCTAGCTTGTATCTACAAATATACACTGATGCAGAATAGAATATATCAAGAACATTCCAGGTACTGTTTATAACCTTTAGGCACTAAAAGGTGTTCATTGTAACATGGATCGTTGTCATCGTTGTCTCACCACTGATCCAAAATAGACTCAGGCCTATGTTCCAATCTGCCACATGAGGTGACTTGTGACAAACATGCTGTTTCACAATCCTAATCATCTTACCCTGTTCAACTTTGAGAGAGGTTGACATGTGTATCAATGTTGTACATAAATTCATGTTCATGACAAACCTTAATGAGTTGTTTCACTCTTGTTCATTGAGTGCAGTAACTTGGAGTATATACTTTCTGTAAACACATCCCATATACATTGTTCTACAGTGCCAAGACAGCCACCATATTTCACAAATATGCAATTAACCATATACATTAAATGTAAGATATTTTCCCAAAACATGCATATCTTGACAGGTAAAATGAATTGGCATAAAGATGAAAATATATCATATTTAATCTAGGATATCACATAATGTTTCATATTCCAATATCTAAATTAAAGTGAAATGTTAATAATTAGTTGTTCAGTTTATGTGCCAAAATTCTGAGGTTTTACAATGCATCCAATCAAATCCTCAAATACAGAAAAATGAAATATCATTCTTAATAGTGTAAACTTGTAATTTTACAACAGATAAACAACAAATTAATTGTTTAAGCTTGTTTAGTGGCATTCATTATACAGAGTAAAACTATCAAACATCGTGTTACTGTAACATGCTGGTATTTGGACTATTGATCTATCTCTTGTTTTTCCATTGTATGTTCAAAAGCACTGCATTGGGAATGCTAACTTTTCTTCAGTTATCACCGTGATAACATTGTGCTATTCTGATATCATCATAGACAGAATGTGCAGGCCTCACCCTATCCTGAACATACATGCACCTGCACCTGTAGCTGTAGTTGGAATGTTCTGTGAGAGGCCTGGGATTCTGACAGTATAGAGGTGGAGGTGTTACCCTCTGGTTGCTTGAGGTATGTCAGTGTAGTTGTCTATATGTCCATGTCCACAGGGCGGAGCTCCCCGGTCTTGTGCTCCTGCACCCACAGCTCTCGGTCTTTGGCTGGGTCCACACTCTGAAGCAGCTGATCCACTGGCTCCACCGTCTGCCAACCAACACACACACAGGCTCATATGGACCTTCATCACACATGAAGCCAACACTGACACATCTCATAGACAATGTATATGCTTAGATAACTCATAGATACTCATACAGAACACAGTACAATGGAGCCAGACACTGCTATCCATAGTGGACAGGGGTAAGTTTACTGTATCTAGAGACACATCACGCTGCCTTTGGCAAATACAACTGGAGGCAAAGAAGTGTGCCAGCGGGTATCAGCTGAGCTTTTTATAGTGGCCCTCTAAAGGACACCCTCCTTATTAGGTTGATCCGTAGTGTGTGCCACCTGTAATTGGCCTTCACCATCACCCAAAGTGGCACTACCCTTGTTACGGTACATGACCCTAAACGCTGACATTCAGCGTCTCGTTAGATCTGTAGGTGTTTGCACCTCCTAAATGAGGAGAGCATCTGGGTTCAATCTCCCTGTTCAAGTACGGCCCTGTGAAGCAGCCAGCAGGGGGTGATAACAGCTGGTGAAGGGGTACAGTGATTGAATTTGGAGGCGGTGAAATCCTTTTAACTGTTTGGCCAGCATTTTCACAACAAACATGCTTGCCAAAACGTTGATCTGAGTCCATCGCACAAATCCTTTGTATTGGGATACTTGATCTAGAATTGTTTACTAAAAGGATCTGCTTTAAAAAATCAACATACACCACACACTCCAAATGACATATTTCACTGATGACCATTTTGTTTTACTGTAGCACTATGCTCTCCAAAATTGCTCATCAACTAACTAGGCTGATCATGACCAGCCTGGTCTCATAGACTAGACGTAACATAGTACATTTAAACAGGGGACACTCAAATTAGTATGATATGTTATGTTTGGTATGGTTACATAAGACAGAAGGTTACGGGTATAACGCGAACGTCTAGCAACCCAAAGTTTGCGTGCACGAATCTCATCACGGACAACTTCAGCATTTTAGCTCATTAGAAACTTTGCAACTACTTACTACGTTTTAGCTACTTTGCAACTACTTAGCACAGCGGTCTCCAACAGATCGATCTCACAGCCCACCTATGAGTAGCTCGCAACAATTCTGAAAGTACATGCATTTTTCACATTCCACTGCAAACTGTCATAAACAAATCTCACAAGTATCAGACACCGCAAGCTCCCAGCTACAATCTAATCAACATTGACATTATCCCACCCCTGGTTACCCACTATTTGCTTAAAAAGCCAAACCTAACACAATATCTGCCAATTAATTTCTTACCTGGCAGAAGGACTGTATATCGTGAGTAAGTATTTCATTTGTGTCTATTAGTTGCTATTTGTGACTAGTTTCAGGAAACTAGGTGTATGTCGCATGTGACTGCTTCAAAGGAGAGGCATTTCAATGTAAACATAAAAAAAAAAATTAAAAAAAACGTTTTTTGCCAGAAATGCCTTCTGGAACATGTGAACTTTAATGTGCCTTAATAACAAACTTGTATTCCATCCATAAATACGAATAAAATAGTTAAATTACGAGCCTAGTTGGTTTAGCCATGAAAAAAGACAGGAACCTTCCCACTAGCCATAATTGGCTGAGATAATGTATGGGCTGGACATGCCAGGAGATGAGTTTGGAATGGTCTGCCATGTAGCATGCATCTGTCTGTAACAAGAGCTGTTCAGTATGTATTGATAGTCCTTTCTACCATGCCGTTTAGCAGGCACTATCGACAGAAAAAATTATGGGCTACTTTCTGCACACTCCACCGTCATTGTGAACCAGAGTGACTTGACACAACGCTGGCCAAACAAGATGTAGCTACAAACAAAATGGAGTTAAATGGTTCCAGTCTGCCGTGAAGCGTTCATCCATGTATACGGGTAAGAGTTTAGCTACATCAGAAAAAAATTGCAAGTTAAAGCTAGCGAACGTTAGCTTGCTCGCTAGCTAACGTTACGTGTATGATCTGTGTAGTAATATTATTCGAATCAGAAATCCATTTGCATTGCTAGTTATAGCCTAATGTTAGCTAGCTAACATTAAACCTAGTTTGTTAGCTTTAGCTACCTGCAGAGTCATACTACAGCTATGACAATGTTTGTATTGGTAGTAGTATGAGTTGGGATTATGCCGGTTCATTGTTTTCTAGTTAGCTAGCTACCTGTCTAAACAAAAGACTCCACTTCGCCGGATTATTACATGAGTCATGTCAGGACCCATCAAATTAGCTAGGTGTGTCTGGGGTTGATTATGGCCATCTATTGTATTTCATGAACATGTGTACATGTCTAGACAATAGTGACCCATTCACTTAGCTAGATGTGGCTGGGGTGTGGTTATAGCATTTCCTTCACATGACCCATCAATTTAGACAAGTGTGTCGGGCAAGCGTCATCTAATAATTATAAAATATTTATACAATATTTTAATCTGGATACTTTCTGTTTTTGATATTGCTACTATGCAAGTAACCATTTCAGTGTACCGTTTCCACCTTCTGTATCCTGTGCATGTGACAAATAAACTTAGATTTTATTTGATATAGCATGTGTTTACCATATGGCCTCACATGTGAATCCTTAAAGAGATGGTTGGGGCTAAGGTTTAAGAGGGTGTGAACGATGCTGAATGGGTGTAGAAGAAGAGCTCTCCAGTAGGTTTACCAAAACATTCAAGGGACATTTTCTCAAATGTGGGGTTACAAGTTTATCAACTTTCAAAGCATAATTACTTTCCCATTGTTTCTCAACTGCAGTGTTTGATATACCATCTCTACTTTTATCCAATGTAAAAAACACCATTTCACATTTTGCGACATAAGACCGAATCGAAGTGGTCGGTCACATTTGCAAACTTTGCCATGAAATGAGCATCAGCAGTACAGAACCATTGCTAGATGGGGACATTAGATTGTACATTGCGCACTCTCTAGATGCACAATTAAAGGGCCAGATGCACAATTAAAGGGGAATTACACTCAAAAATCTAAATGTGTTCATTTTCTTCCAGACCTAGAAAAAAGGGTATTCTGATGTGATTTAATAATTGTAATTTTGAAAGTGAAAAACAAAAATAATCTTAAACCAGGTAAAATAAAACTGAAAAAACATAATTTGGGAAAATATAAAACATAATTTGGGAAAGAAATCACAGATTTTATAGAGCCCCCCTTAGATTTGTTTATTAACCATTATTTTACCAGGTATATTGACAGAATACATACTGCACTACTTTCTCTTGTACACTAAGGACCTGGGGAAGAGTTGCAGGGGAGAGGAGAAGAGAAGAATGTGCCTATTTTAAAGATAGAAAAAAATGAGTAGCTCGCGACATGTTTCATTTTTTAAAAGTAGCTCTCATGTAAGAAAAGGTTGGAATCCCCTGACTTAGCATGTTAGATAAACCTTCCCCTAACCCTAACCTAACCCCTAACCTAACTCCTAACCCTAACCTTAACCCTAACCTTAACCCCTAACCCTAACCCCTAGCCTTAGCCACCTAGCTAACATTATCATTCATAAAATTCGTCACATATTGTATGAATTGCAATTCATCACGTATTATATGAATTGTAATTCGTAACATATCATACGAAATGGATGATGGACAGCTACAAATTAACACAAACCATACGAAATGTAACATATCATACTAATTGGGATGTCCCAGATTTACTTTTACTATGTTACGTCTAGGGCTGTTACGGTTACTGTATTCTACCCTTGAGTCCAGGTTGTCATACTGACAGATTGGTTGTCTGACTCCAGCGAACAGCCACTTGTACTGTAAACTGACTCCAGGGAACAGCCACTTGTACTGTAAGTGAAATGGACACATGACTTACACTTTGGTTGAACATGTCAGTTTCATGTCGCAACGTTGTGTACTGGCATAAATTCTGTCGTATCATCTCCACCCTCTCAACCTCAAGTTCTCCAGCTCCTGAAGAACAGAGGAAAAATAAATAGACAAGGAATCACCTCACTGTCAAAACAAAGATAACAATGAACATGATCAGCTTTTATTGTTTGTTATCAACAATGACACTATGAAGAGTTAGTTCAATTGTATTACCAGGCTTGTGGTGACCATCTCCTCAAACCACTTGGACTGGGCCCGGTTGTACAGGTCCACATTGTGCATGAGGTCATCACCTGTAGAGAACAGGATACAGAGTGGTCATTCAACACAGTGTGTTGACAAGGAGGTAATACTAGACCTCAACTCAACATAAGTTGTGGTAGACATTTGCAGTTACACTGATGTAGTTAAGATGAAGTACTACGGCCTTAATGTATTTACTACATTAAATGTATGCCCTAAATTAACGTATGCATGAGGAAAGACGCCAGGGTTGTGGGTTCGATAAAATAATGTATGTGCTAACTGTAAGTCGCTCTGGATAAGAGCGTCTGCTAAATGACTTAAATGTAAATGTAATGTAATGAAAGGCGTGCATGTACTCGTCCCTATCTCGAGAGAGGTCTCAGTAGCCTTGGCCTGTTGCGGGTTGGACTATTGATTGAACATTATGACAGGCTATCCTTCGATGACTATCTATAAAAGCTGGATAGGTGACTCCATTTAAGAGTGTGCACTAATTCAGCTCGTTACTGATAAAAGACACCTGGAGCCAGAAATCTTTCTGATTGAGAGGGGGTCAAATACTTATTTCCCTCATTTTCAATGCCCTGGCTGAGGGAAGGAGGTTCTCACCCAAGATTTGACGGTACATGGCCCCGTCCATCGTCCCTTTGATGCGGTGAAGTTGTCCTGTCCCCTTAGTAGAAAAACACCCCCAAAGCATAATGTTTCCACCTCCATGTTTGACGGTGGGGATGGTGTTCTTGAGGTCATAGGCAGCATTCCTCCTCCTCCAAACACGGCGAGTTGAGTTGATGCCAAAGAGCTCGATTTTGGTCTCATCTGACCACAACACTTTCACCCAGTTCTCCTCTGAATCATTCAGATGTTAATTGGCAAACTTCAGACGGGCCTGTATATGTGCTTTCTTGAGCAGGGGGACCTTGCGGGCGCTGCAGGATTTCAGTCCTTCACGGCATAGTGTGTTACCAATTGTTTTCTTGGTGACTATGGTCCCAGCTGCCTTGAGATCATTGACAAGATCCTCCCGTTTAGTTCTGGGCTGATTCCTAACTGTTCTCATTATCATTGCAACTCCACGAGGTGAGATCTTGCATGGAGCCCCAGGCCGAGGGAGATTGACAGTTATTTTGTGTTTCTTCCATTTGCGAATAATCGCATCAACGGTTGTCACCTTCTCACCAAGCTGCTTGGCGATGGTCTTGTAGCCCATTCCAGACTTGTGTAGGTCTACAATCCTGTCCCTGACATCCTTGGAGAGCTCTTTGGTCTTGGCCATGGTGGAGAGTTTGGAATCTGATTGATTGATTGCTTCTGTGGACAGGTGTCTTTTATACAGGTAACAAGCTGAGATTAGGAGCACTCCATTTAAGAGTGTGCTCCTAATCTCAGCTCGTTACCTGTATAAAAGACACCTGGGAGCCAGAAATCTTTCTGATTGAGAGGGGGTCAAATACTTATTTCCCTCATTAAAATGCAAATACATTTATAACATTTTTGACATGCGTTTTTCTGGATTTTGTTGTTGTTATTCTGTCTCTCATTGTTCAAATAAACCTACCATTAAAATTATAGACTGATCATGTCTTTGTCAGTGGGCAAACGTACAAAATCAGCAGGGGATCAAATACTTTTTTCCCTCACTGTATATTGACAGAAAACATACTGCACTACTTTCTCTTGTACACTAAGGACCTGGGGAAGAGTTGCAGGGGAGAGGAGAAGAGAAGAATGTGCCTATTTTAAAGATAGAAAATAATTAGTAGCTCGCGACATTGTTTCATTTTTTAAAGTAGCTCTCATGTCAGAAAAGGTTGGAATCCCCTGACTTAGCATGTTAGCTAAACCTTCCCCTAACCTCTAACCTAACTCCTAACCCTAACCTTAACCCTAACCTTAACCCCAACCTTAACCCCTAACCCTAACCCCTAGCCTTAGCCACCTAGCTAACATTATCATTCATAATTCGTAACATATCATATGTTTGGCAAATTCGTAACATATTGTACGAATTGCAATTCATCAATATTATACAATTGTAATTCGTAACATATCATACGAAATGGATGATGGACAGCTACAAATTAACACATACCATACGAAATGTAACATATCATACTAATTGGGATGTCCCAGATTTACTTTTACTATGTTACGTCTAGGGCTGTTACGGTTACTGTATTCTACCCTTGAGTCCAGGTTGTCATACTGACAGATTGGTGTCTGACTCCAGCGAACAGCCACTTGTACTGTAAGGCTGACTCAGCGAACAGCCACTTGTACTGTAAGGCTGACTCAAGTGAACAGCTACTTGTACTGTAAACTAACTCAGTGAACAGCACTTGTACTGTAAAACTGACTCCAGGGAACAGCCACTTGTACTGTAAACTGACTCCAGGGAACAGCCACTTGTACTGTAAGTGAAATGGACACATGACTTACACTTTGGTTGAACATGTCAGTTTCATGTCGCAACGTTGTGTACTGGCATAAATTCTGTCGTATCATCTCCACCCTCTCAACCTCAAGTCTCTCCAGCTCCTGAAGAACAGAGGAAAAATAAATAGACAAGGAATCAACCTCACTGTCAAAACAAAGATAACAATGAACATGATCAGCTTTTATTGTTTGTTATCAACAATGACACTATGAAGAGTTAGTTCAATTGTATTACCAGGCTTGTGGTGACCATCTCCTCAAACCACTTGGACTGGGCCCGGTTGTACAGGTCCACATTGTGCATGAGGTCATCACCTGTAGAGAACAGATACAGAGTGGTCATTCAACACAGTGTGTTTGACAAGGAGGTAATACTAGACCTCAACTCAACATTAAGTTGCTGGTAGACATTTGCAGTTACACTGATGTAGTTAAAGATGAAGTACTACGGCCTTAATGTATTTACTACATTAAATGTATGCCCTAAATTAACGTATGTATGAGGAAAGGCGTGCATGTACTCAGTCCCTATGTCTCCAGCAGAGGGCACTCAGTAACCATGCCTGTTGCGGTGTGAGACTATTGATGCAACATAATGCAGAGGCTAACCTCCGATGCTAATTCTATAAAAGCTTGGTTCAATAGGGTTGAAGAAAAGTGCAAAGCAAATGTGACCTAGTATGGAAACGTTCTTCTACATTTCAGATCAATCTATTAGACATGCATTACAAACGCCTACTGTAGAAAGGGTGTAAGAAACAACCTAAAACAAAACTACGGAGGAAGTTATTTTACAATCCAGCCTCTCCAATAATAGCACATCTCAATCTATATGGAAATGAGGTCAGGGTTTTTAATGACATTTGCCTCTGGAAAAAATGATAGACACAAGGCAGACGTCATCTAAAGTGTGCCTGACGTGAGCTATTGATTAGAGCTGTGAACTGAGACTAATTCTCTGAGTGGGAGAGAGAATGAACAAGATGCTGGCTTTTATAATTTACTTTTTCCTCTAAAGTGTGTGCATAGATATGTACGGAAAAAGCAATTACGACCTTGGCACCAGAACTGTTTGTACCATCATACTATCTACAATACAGAGAAATGGGAGCCCCAGGCGTTGTACTGCATGGCTGATCATAGCCTCATGAATTAAGCATATTCACTATGAACATGCCAACTATGATTCCACATTCAAATATAAATTCAAAGCAAGATGTGTTTGTCTCCTAAGCACATGATATTGCAATGTTTTTTTTTGTCAGCCTCCTGTCTGAGCTCTCAAATCCCATCCATTTCTGACTGAACGCCCCCACATTCCCTATCTGACTGCAGCACAGCCCCACCTCACCCCCTCTGCCTCCTGCTTGGGAAAACACTGTCTTCTTAGGCAACACAGTCTGGGAATCTCCCCCCAAGTCTGAACCCTGAGCGTGTGAAACATATCTGCACTGGTCGCACCCATGTCTCTGTTCCATTTACACTACAGGCCCCGCCATGTGGTCCATGTTGCCAGATCTGACTGTTTGGGATGCCTGGCTGGTCCGGACGGGACAAGTCCTCTATTGATACCCTTGTTCACTGCGACCAAAAGATTAGCCCTGGGGATTGTGGGTAATGGTCCTCTCCCAGCGGGCTTATTATCCCACCGCAAAAATAGATCATTAAACTTGTTTCCATGTTGAAATACTACTGGCTCTCTTTTGCAATGGTTTCTGGTGTTGTGCCAGTGGGTGCTTCCCTTAACAGAGTTCTCACCCTGTCGGCTACGCCTCTTGCTGCTGATGAAAACACCACCACAACTTTACACAATGGCAGCACAACATCACAAGGATAGGCAATTTGCGTGCAACGCAAGAGTGGCCTCAAAAGCGGCTTACGCAACATAAAAGCGGCTGCTCAGCAATGCAGGGCTGATTTATCAAGAAACACAGCTGTGGGTGAATTGAACGGCTCAGATTTGAAAGGAGAGAGGCGATTTGTTGCCTTTAAAAGTACACTGTGGTAAGTTAATAAAAAGCACACCTGAGAATGCAGCATGCTTAGGGTGCATGTTCTCTCCTCTCTGGGGGCACAATCTGCACAACTATGTTGATGTTTCATGGAACTGTGAAATGTGGCTGCTCTACATATGATGTGTTGTGTGCTTAACCCCTGACCCGGGTTTCTCTGACCTGCTTGTGTGGATTTCCGCCGGGCCTTCTTGATGTCCTCCTCGTGTTTGTTCATGTGCTTGATGTCCAGCTGCTGGGTCTTCACCTCCAGATCTTTCTGCCGGTCTGCCAGGGCTCTACGGGCCTACAGCAACACAAGCAGCAGTGTGAATACAGAAACAATATGAATCATTTCATCCTCAGATCTACTGAACCTACAGCTATTACCTCAGTCATCACAGCCCTTTCGTGTCGGCTACCTATTTCCCCTTAATCTATTGTTATTTCACATCACAGGATCTTCCTTCATCTCATCTGTTGAGGCAACTCTCCATGGTCATGATGTAACAGTATTGGAAATGTAAACACAGCACTTGGCAGGCACGAACCGTAAACCCACAAAATCTCCTGTGTTAAATGGATGCCAACTAAAATAAAACCAAGGGGACGTTATGCTTGCATGAAGCCAATCGATTGATTTATCTAATCTATATGATTACCATGGGGAGAAAGATAGGCAACAAAAAGCAACAGATTTTTTCAGAGCAAAAACGGTTAATCTTATAATACATTGAATGGTTTCAATAGTCCAACAGAATAATGCTGTGGTGTAGTCAGATCATCCCTAAACCACTTCTTCTGACATTTATTTTTGGATAATTTAAAACTTCTCTGGGAAAACCTGAATTGTAGGACAAGGGTTATAGGATGCTTTGGTTTAGAGTGGTCAATACCTTCTCCACGCCTGCATAGCGGCTGGCCAGCTGCTTCCTGAGGTCTATGATGTGGTGATCGTACTTCTTCAACTCCTTCTTGAAGTTGTCTCTGAACGTCAGCAGGGGCTTCTCCACCTCACACTGGAGCTGAAGAGGGACAGTTATTACAGTTGTAATTGATATGTAATCATGTGTAACTACAATGTAACTACATTGTACCTGCCTATGTAACTACTATATAAATAAACAGCTTTAGAGTCCTGGTAGGCCTATACAGGATATATGTGACCTAGCTGCATAAAGCATGGATGAACATAGTCATGAAAAGTACACTTAGGCCACTATACGTTCAAGAGGATTTCTCACTTTTCCGCTTGACCACACGTTACTTATCCCCATCCCATCAGCTGTGGTGTCTCCGAGCTCAGAGGAGAGGGGATCATGGCGTGCTGCATTTCCACGGAATGGGGCTCATCAGAAGACACCACTAATTAGTCAGACAATGGAGGCTATGTAAAGCTTTAAGGCTACCTCTGCTTTATTTTAAGCTTTCTTCAGACCCAGTAGAGTTTTTGCTTCACTGGTAATTGCTGCTGTAAGCCCCACACTTTTTTTTCTTTTTTGCCCATGTCAGACCAGAGTGAGGTAAACAAACACCCAGGACGTGGTCAGAGAGACCTTGGATTGACCAAAGGAACACATAAATAAACTGACTGCCAACTAAGCTTTCTCTAAGGGCTCTATAGCTCATAGAAAATACATCTTATAATGTTGATTGAAGGTATGAGTGAAGCATGGATGTTGTCCACTTCCATGAGTTCACATGGAGATTTTTGAATTTTCTCTGTCTGTTACATTACATGCAATCTATAACATGCGATCCACAGTATCTTTTAGCGAGACAGCAGGCTACCTTGTTGGAGAACTTGAGGTGGACTTCAGCCTCATCATGACAACTCCTCTTCAGCTGGGCCCAAGCCTCCCCAAGGGTTCTGGAATGGGATCAAACAAGAGACATCAACCAAACTGGACAGAATGGATGGGAAAACACCCAGGCAGCAACCAGGTTTATGGTGAAGAATATAGAAAGAATCGAAAGCTATTCTATTAACTCCCTCACCCCTCCTCCTGAGCAGCCAAGGGGCTCTGGGAGAGCTTGGAGAGGTTCTTAGAGTATTCCTCTTCAATCTTTATCCTGCAACAGACAAACACAGCCATGTGTTTGGGACTCGAGGGAAGACCAAAAGTTTTTGAATAGAGGAGAAAAATGTTTAAAAGCTAACAGAGTTTCAAAGGAGCATTGGGGCATGGAGACACTGTCCTCCATTACATCACTGACACCCAAAGACATACAGCACTGTGGCCTCTGTGATATTCAAAGGCAGAAGCCTATTATTCTATGCTGAGAGAAAATATCAAACAATATCCTGTAACAACAGCCTGGATGTGAGTTAATGCACTTTCCTGTGGAAAGGCCAGAGATTGGAATGAGGTGAGGCCATTTACTCATGGCCACCCTGAGGGTGACTCAGAAAGGCCAGCCATATTTCTGTGACATTCAAATATCCCACGAATACCCATTAACTATACACATCTCAGTAAACCTGTCCTCTACGGAAGGTCATGAAGGCCATTCCAAAGACATGGATATGGCCAGAATCTGACATCACAATTTACTAAGGTCAGCTGGCACACTGAACCAATGAAGAAAGGTCAGCCCTGAATTTGGATTTGGGGGAAAGGGGCCTTTAAATGAATTGTGTGAATGTGGTCAGGGGATAAAGTGAAAGTTCACTTAATTCTCAAGTCTATTGAGTCAATGGAGACTTTTGTTGTGGGCGCAAAGTGGGGCCTATTGAAAGCGTATGTTTAGGATGTCAACTGTATGTACATCTACAACTTAACGTTATAAACCTAGTACGGTACAACACATTTATCTGAATTCAAATGTTCATAGGGATGATATACCTGGGGCAGCAGGTAGCCTGGCGGTTAAGAGCGTTGGGCCAGTCGCCGAGACGACTAGGTGAAAAGTCGGTCGATGTGACCTTGAGCAAGGCACTTAACCCTAATTGCTCCTGTAAATCGCTCTGGATAAGAGCATCTGCTAAATGAATACAATGTAAATATATGAATAGATACTATATAGTGGAGCCAGGTTGTCAAGGACAAAATAACACATGCACTACAATAACAAAATGATAATGACATGATAATACCCTGATAAGACATGAACAACAGTCCAAATAAGATTACCATCAAAAAAGATAAGACAATGACAATCAATAACATTTCCCAACCCACAAAATACATAGATACAAAATCATACACAGTACCACTGACCCCCTCCAAGCTGTCTATGTTGTGTTACCTCTCCCGGACGAACTCAGCCATCTCTTTCTGCATCTGTTTGCCCTTCAGCTGTTTCTGCAGCAACACCTCAAAGCCGCCCACAGAGGGGGTCCCCTGGGGGTCCTTCTTGTCAGTCTGAGGGAGAGGATGGAGCATCACTCACACACACAGACCAATACAGCCACAGACTTCATTTCATGGAGAAAATGACATTGTTTACATTAAGTGTATGTGAGTGGTGAGGGGTGGTGGGGAGTCAGAGTGTCCCGTGCAGAGGTCCCGTGTAGCTCAGTTGGTAGAGTATGACGCTTGCAACGCTAAGGTTGTGGGTTCGATTCCCACGGGGGATCAGCACGGGAAAATGTATGCACTCACTAATGTAAGTCACTCTGGATAAGAGCTTCTGCTAAATGACTAAAAAAGTCAAATGTATGTGTATGAGTCAGAGAACTACACGTATGTGCTAAGGAGTAGGTGTGTGCGTCATTTGCGCGTGTGTGTCTAAGGGTTGAACAAGGAGCAGCACATCCCACTATGTGTAACAGGATGTGGATGCGACAGGGAGTGATGTGCTGGTACCACGTGAACCAGAGGTGACATATTGATTTCACACAATGGGCTTGAGCGGCGGCTGAGTGGAGCACATTATGCCACAGGAAATAAAGACAGCCACAGAGAACATGACTCAGTGGAGCAAGAACAACCATCCACATCACAGTTCAGTGAAAAGAGGCTTCTGTTACAATCATGTTTGTAGACACATGAGTCGGCGTTAATGTGACAGACAAAATCTACCCTATTGGATTCAAAGTCATATGTAACAGCGCTGAGATTCCTATAAACATAGGCAGTAGGGATCTTCCTCTATGAGCTGGATAGTGGTTTAGAGATGTCAGGCTCTATCTTACCCAGAAGTAGTCACAGTAGCTCCACTCATTGGGCTTCAGAAGCTGCTGCTCTGGCTGATCTGGTGTCACACTGAGCAGCGGAAAGGTGACGCAGTTGATCTGAATGCAAAAAATGGTGAGACGAATTCAAGAGAGTGAGAGACAAGTGAGAGAGGTTTCTTTGAGACATCAGAGGGAGAGGAAGAAAGAAAGGAGGAGGAGGAGGGTAAGAGATTAATTAGCTTCAACTCTCAGGAATTAATGTGTTGAAAACACGATGGTTAGAACAGACATCAAATGTGGAATTTGTGGGAGTTGTGCATAGAAGCTTCTCATTTGGAAACAGGACATGGAGGCTCGGTTTGTGTCTGTGTCATGAGGACGGGAGTAAAGGTCAGGAATTAGTCAATACTCTCAGGGGGTGTTGGTCATCAAGATGGTGACCCAGAGAGAGAAAAGAGAGGGGGGGGGGGGGGGCTTACGATCCTTTCACTTATTTGTGATAAACTAAAACAACACTATAACGGAGAGAAATCAAATCACATTATATTTGTCACATGCGCCAAATACAACAGGTGTAGACCTTACCGTGAAATGCTTACTTACAAACCCTTAACCAACCATGCAGTTTTAAGAAAAATAAGAGTTAAGAAAATATTGACTAAATAAACTGAAGTTAAAAAAATAAAGAAAAAAAAGACCTACAATCAGTGATACAACCAACAACAACCCAAACCACTGTAGAGCAGAGTCACAACTAAACACACCCAGCACTCAGACTGAATACACACAGCGTCTTCAATTACCCTTAGAGGACAGCAATTATGTAATGTTCACCATCTGTAACCTCTCCCTGCTGGCACAACAACATGCCCTCTATCTATGCCATACTGCCAATGCTGTCCCAGCAGACGACATGGACATGCTGAATCTCAGATGCACAAATATGTATTACATGTTCACTGCTTGGCTAAACTACAGCATGACAAGGAAAAAATATACTGTGCAATAGTTTCAAAAGATAATAAGACTTCTACTCGCTGATTACCATATTTGCTTAATTAAATATGACATTGTTTGAAGCTTTGTGTTGCAAATCATTGAGCCTATTGGGAGTTCAAACGATTTAGAATTAGGGAGAGATTTGGAGAACTGGCTGAGAAGAAATAGTCAAACTGAAGGAAGCAAGCCATAAAACCTATTCTTAATCTGTAATAAATACAAACATGAGCTCCATTCTTTCCTGAAGGCAACCAGCCGTCTGCAGTGTAAGAAATCTCCAGCTCCTGCTTGAAAGCAGTTCTATCAATGACTTGAGATACATGATCTTCTCCCCTTGGACATCTATTATGTATGCACAAACACCCACATACGGACAGGCAAGAGAAAGGAGATGCATCATTCAAAGACACACACACGAACACACACATCACATACTGTACACGCACACACACGAACACACACACACACACAAACACACACACACACACACACCTAAAAGTCTGCATATATGTATGCTTCCACACACCACAGAAGATACAGTGGTAGAAACACACACATAGAAGTGTCGTAGACTCCTTCTAATGTAACGCATGGCACGCAACGCTACGCTACACAACGCTAAGCAACTCTACGCAACGTGCAACTATGACAGACAAATTAAGAATTTTTTTCTCCAGAAAATCACATTGTAGGATTTTTTATGAATTTATTTGCAAATTATGGTGGAAAATAAGTATTTGGTCACCTACAAACAAGCAAGATTTCTGGCTCTCACAGACCTGTAACTTCTTCTTTAAGAGGCTCCTCTGTCCTCCACTCGTTACATGAATTAATGGCACCTGTTTGAACTTGTTATCAGTATAAAAGACACCTGTCCACAACCTCAAACAGTCACACTCCAAACTCCACTATGGCCAAGACCAAAGAGCTGTCAAAGGACACCAGAAACAAAATTGTAGACCTGCACCAGGCTGGGAAGACTGAATCTGCAATAGGTAAGCAGCTTGGTTTGAAGAAATCAACTGTGGGAGCAATTATTAGGAAATGGAAGACATACAAGACCACTGATAATCTCCCTCGATCTGGGGCTCCACGCAAGACCTCACCCCGTGGGGTCAAAATGATCACAAGAACGGTGAGCAAAAATCCCAGAACCACACGGGGGGACCTAGTGAATGACCTGCAGAGAGCTGGGACCAAAGTAACAAAGCCTACCATCAGTAACACACTACGCCGCCAGGGACTCAAATCCTTCAGTGCGAGACGTGTCCCCCTGCTTAAGCCAGTACATGTCCAGGCCCGTCTGAAGTTTGCTAGAGTGCATTTGGATGATCCAGAAGAGGATTGGGAGAATGTCATATGGTCAGATGAAACCAAAATATAACTTTTTGGTAAAAACTCAACTCGTCGTGTTTGGCGGACAAAGAATGCTGAGTTGCATCCAAAGAACACCATACCTACTGTGAAGCATGGGGGTGGAAACATCATGCTTTGGGGCTGTTTTTCTGCAAAGGGACCAGGACGACTGATCCATGTAAAGGAAAGAATGAATGGGGCCATGTATCGTGAGATTTTGAGTGAAAACCTCCTTCCATCAGCAAGGGCATTGAATATGAAATGTGGCTGGGTCTTTCAGCATGACAATGATCCCAAACACACCGCCCGGGCAACGAAGGAGTGGCTTCGTAAGAAGCATTTCAAGGTCCTGGAGTGGCCTAGCCAGTCTACAGATCTCAACCCCATAGAAAATCTTTGGAGGGAGTTGAAAGTCCGTGTTGCCCAGCGACAGCCCCAAAACATCACTGCTCTAGAGGAGATCTGCATGGAGGAATGGGCCAAAATACCAGCAACAGTATGTGAAAACCTTGTGAAGACTTACAGAAAACGTTTGACCTGTGTCATTGCCAACAAAGGGTATATAACAAAGTATTGAGGGACTTTTGTTATTGACCAAATACTTATTTTCCACCAAAATTTGCTAATAAATTCATTAAAAATCCTACAATGTGGTTTTCTGGATTTTTTTTTCTCATTTTGTCTGTCATAGTTGACGTGTACCTATGATGAAAATTACAGGCCTCTCTCATCTTTTTAAGTGGGAGAACTTGCACAATTGGTGGCTGACTAAATACTTTTTTCCCCCACTGTACATACTTGGTGGAGCCCAGTCACTTTGTTCATTTTCTGCCTGAGAGATCCTACTGATTGTTATGGGCACCAGATTTTCCATAACACTGACTCGCCATCTATCACTGCTGTTGTTTATCTCCTGCTCACATCCTCCAGAAAGTGAGACCATTTATCTGCAGCATGGCTGTCTCAATAGCTCACTACTCTTTTATGGGCTCTTAGTGAGTTGCTACGCTGTTAGGACTCAGAGATTAATATTCATTGCCTCTATGAAAATCAGGGAGAATTTTTACGCACTGTTAGCACTCTATGTGGTTTATAGTAGTTTATGTTTTTGGACAGATTTTTAGTTGGTCAGCAAATTGAAGGTGTTATGGTTCAGCCTGACAGGGTTATGGAGATTCTAAGGGAGCCAGGCAGGGTCCTTGCTTATGAATGACTCACATGGTGTATGGACCTTCCTGTAGTTTAGAACAGACTAATTACACTTTCTCCTAACAGCAGACAGTGTTGACAAGTGCCAGTTTGCCTAATCAACCAGAGGGACAGTCTGTCCTCTACCTGCATTCATTATACAGTCATGTCTACCCTAAATTCTGAGGCAAATTTAGAAAGGTTAATTTATTGCCTGGACATTTATCAATTGTGAACTAGACATCGCACATTGGAATGGTTTATCTCTGCTGAATAGACACAAATATCACTGACAGCATGGAAAATAACCCATGCTTAAAGACATAAGACACTGTCAAGTCAACACATACATCTCTAGCCACCTTAGGTAACACTATCAGAAAATAACCCTTCCCCCGGCACATACGCACACACACCACACACACCACACACCACACACACACACACACACACACACACACACACACACACACACACACACAAAGACACACACACACACACACACCAGCAAGCATGCTAGAAACCTAAAAACACTTAATTATAGGCAGAGTATTGACTGTCTCAACCATTACTGAGACTGTAGGGTGCTCAGCCACTGTTGCTAAGCGACAAATTACTTTTGCTGTAAAGGCGCAATCCCCCATAACAAAAGACTCCAAGACATCCTCCACTATTCTCAGTATGCTGTGGCTTCCTCCAACTCTGTGTTCACTCATTAATTTAATGAGTGAATATTGCGTGACCGCTTTCCTAAAACATTTTTTAAATAATAATAATCAAAATAACCCATCTGAATCTTCCAAACGACAGCAGGTGACACTCTAACCAGCTGTTATTCTTTCTTCTCAGCACAGAGCATAACAACAAGTCAAACAGCACTTGAGTGAGTATGTTTAATGAGGTGGAAAACATGGACGGCTATTCAGATGCTTTCAGCCCTGTGCATGTTCATTCCATCACACTCAGGTCCAGCCTCATAATATGGAGGAGACAAGGTAACAACAAGGTTACAGCTCTGCTGGTCTCAAATCAGTGGAGGCTGGTGCTACATTAAATAGGAGGATAGTCTCATTAAAATGGATTGAAACACATTAAACACACCGTTCCATTCACTCCATTCCAGCCATTACTATGAGCCATCCTCCCTTCAGCATCCTCCACTGTTTCTGATGGAGGAGCCATGATCCATCCCATATGGGATCTGAGACATGCTCCAGTGGTGGACGTTAAAGTCATTCACCTGTCCATGACAACTGAAAGACAGGTCGCGTGATGCAACATGCATCATGGCACAACAGAAAAACACCCTCCTGGACTGACATCATGATGAGCACCATACACAGCATCAACGACTACAACCTCCCATTATTCCATCATTACACGACACCATTTATTCTACGCAATGAATGAGTCAATGAACAAAGCCATGAATATCACTTATCACAGACCAATTACCCATTCATACGATTTCTCTTTACACCGCAAAGTACAAAACTGCATAATAATGGAATGAATGCAGCCTAATCTAGTAGTCTAGAGATCTTCAGTGCTTGATCCATTCCTATTTCTACAGAAAGCAGCATGGAGATATGACATCATGGTTAAATGTTGGGGATGTGTACAGACTAGAAAAGCACAGTAACCATCATGGCTTATGTAGGATTGGATAGTACACTGACTCCTTTGTGCACAAGAGCACCCCAATCCTTTGTCAACAATGCCATCAATCAAGCCCTATCAAAACAAAGCTCACCTGTAAAAAAATATATATATATATAAAAAAACAAAAAAATAACAACTATTTTTCCACAATATCAATTCAATTCGTTTTCTGAATGGCTCCAGTGTTTCCTATGGCAGCGTTTTCCATTTCAGCACCATTAATCAATGTGCTATTGCTTTTGTAACCATGGAAACTGGCCTTGCTGCATCTCTCGGTGCAGGTTTGTGGGGCTTCACAAAAGGCAGACTGACAGCTCCCGTGGCTGGAGCAGGTCAGTGAGCCCACCGAGCAGAACCAACGCTGGGAACACACAGAACTGTCTGTTAGCCCTCAGCCCAGCACTCACCATCTCCTCCACACATTCATCATTATAAACCCATAGGTTACATAACCACCAGGGCCAGTGTCAGAACAACTTAGACTCTCTGAGGGATGTTTTACATAGATCTGGTTACATGTGGTCCACTCAAATCCCTCATTTGCTAGAAATTAGTTTGATACATTTCTGAGTATAATGAGTTTAATAAATGCTTGTTATGGATACGTGGGAGTAGTGAGTTATAATTAGGAATTCAAGCTGCTTGTGTGATGTAAATGTTTGCATTAGCTGTTGTTGATGGAGAGGAGAACAGAATTAGAATCATGGCTGCAATGTGGAAGTGTTGACTTCCATATAAACGTTGTGGTTTGGTGACTGCAGTCCTGGGTGAACTGCATTGGCCTGCAGCTAGATGTGTGGACCATTGGGGGTTGGGAGGGATACAGCATTACACACATATAATACATTTCTACGGCTTCTAGAGAAGAAGACTCAGAGGACTAGTCAGATTCTGGATCTGTCAGAGATAAATATGCTCTAAATATACCCAGAGATGTCAACTGTCAGCTACAAAGGTCTTCGGCTTTTCAAGAAAATCAAAACCCATACATCATACATGATACAAAATAACTTTGCTGCATGGGAGACCTATTGTTACTCAAAGTCTGCGCCAGCTTCTGTGAACTGAGAAAAATCTGAAACTCTTCATTGCTTATGCAAGCCTCAGTCCCAAACCCACAAGACTGACCTAAATCAATAGAATGGAGTAGACACAGTACCGTCCATGAGAAACAGATTAGCAGTTGACCTGTGGAAACCCCACTGATTAAGACTAATGTTCTATCCAATAGGCTGTTTGGTGTGGTGGCAGTGTTCCTGCACTGTGGCTTCCCCCATTACTCCACAGAGATCTGCAGCCAAACACAGAGACTACACTGCTACACGGACACACTGTAGCATACTGGGTAGATGCAGTACATTTTAACGTTGACAGATGGTCGAATGAAATACACACACATCTAGCCCATTGTCAGGTAAAAACACTTATCTTCTTCCTTCTGTTCAATTATCTCGAAAGGGAATCATCCTAGCTAAAAATAAACATTCTGTCACATCTGCTGTTTCTCCCTGGTGTAATGACTGAATTGTGCTCAGGATCTGTATCTTAAACACAGTCTGAGGCTGCTGCTGCTCTGAGAGAGAAAAGAAACAACAGAGAGAGAGAGAGAGAGAGAGAGAGAGAGAGAGAGAGAGAGAGAGAGAGAGAGGGGGGGGGGGAGAGAGAGAGAGAGAGTGTGTAAGGAAGACAGAGATAGAGAGAAAAGGAGAGATGGAGGGAGATCGAGAGAGAAACAGAGAGAGATAGAGAGTGAGAACAACAGAGAGAGAAAGAGAGAGTGAGGGAGACACAGAGAGAAAAAGGTAGTGAGATGGAGAGGTTCTGGGTTTGGAGCTCCAGGGTACTCACTGTTATCTTGGTCTCCTTGATCACCTTGTTCTGCCTCTTGGCTGGGGAGTTGTTCCCCGGGTTCTGTTGGGAGAGACAGGAGGCATCGTCAACGTCAAAGCTCTCCTCGTTGTCAAAGCTGGCCGCCTCCATCATCACACAACGCCTCTTCTCCCCCTGCTCCTCTCCCTGCTCCTGCAACTGAGGCTGCCTCTCACTGCCTGCCTGCTGCCTGCCTGATGTGGTGAGTCGAGTGGAGACGCGTCACAGGGGGGTGGGGGGGGGGGGGGTGAGTACGGGGCTGGGGAGATGGGAGGGGGGAGGTGTGGAGGGGAGGGGGTGGAGGCGGTTGGTCGCAGTCCTAGGAGCGTGAAGAAGCTAGCCTCCGGTTAAGCTGCTGTCACCCGAGTCTGGAGGTTGACGGCCGGGGGAGAAGGATGCAGCCAGGAGCCTTGTGTCTCCCTACTGTCCATATTGAAAACCACTGAGACAACACATGGATGGAGCCAGCAGAAGAGAGAGAGAGCGAGAGAGAGTGCTTTAGCAATGTAAACATATGTTTCCCATGCCAATAAAGCCCCTTTGAATTCAGTTGAGCGATGGAAGACTGAAGGAGAGGGGGGGGGGGGTTATTTACACATCCCATCACCATGCCTCCCTCTGAGAGAGAGAGAGAGAGAGAGAGATTTGAATGAGGGAGGAGAGGATAAGGAGAGAGGAGAGGTGGCAGGGTTTGAGGGAAATGGCTGAGTGATGATCACTAGAAGGCTAATTATGATTAAGAGGCAAGTTGGAGGAAAAGAGGAGGAGGGGGAAGAAAAACACAACCAATGAACAGCCTCTCTGGCCCCACGTGTGTTTATGAGCTTTAGTGTGTGTGTGTGTGTGTGTGTGTGTGTGTGTGTGTGTGTGTGTGTGTGAGACTATGTGGTTTAGGGAGATGTCTGATAGTGTGGGTGTGTGTTAGCGTAATTACAATTCAGAGCGGTGTGGGTGTAGGATGTCTGATAATAGTGTGTGGGTACAGGATGTATGATAATAGTGTGTGGGTACAGGATGTCTGATTATAGTGTGTGGGTACAGGATGTCTGATAATAGTGTGTGGGTACAGGATGTCTGATAATAGTGTGTGGGTACAGGATGTCTGATTATAGTGTGTGGGTACAGGATGTCTGATAATAGTGTGTGGGTACAGGATGTCTGATAATAGTGTGTGGGTACAGGATGTCTGATTATAGTGTGTGGGTACAGGATGTCTGATAATAGTGTGTGGGTACAGGATGTCTGATAATAGTGTGTGGGTACAGGATGTCTGATAATAGTGTGTGGGTACAGGATGTCTGATTATAGTGTGTGGGTACAGGATGTCTGATAATAGTGTGTGGGTACAGGATGTCTGATAATAGTGTGTGGGTACAGGATGTCTGATAATAGTGTGTGGGTACAGGATGTATGATAATAGTGTGTGGGTACAGGATGTCTGTTGTAGTGTGTGGGTGTTTGTGGAGGTGTGTTTGGCAGGTGTGTTTGTGGAGGGCTGATGCATCTTTGGATGTTTTTCAGGGGTGGGGGTCCAGAGGGTGGATGTGCGGAAGAATTGATGTACGCATGTTTGAGTGCACTGTATGTGAGTGCGGAGGGAGCCTGAGGGCGTGTGTGTGTGGTGTTTATCTGTGTCTGCAGGGCTGCAGCCACACTTACCCTCTCTCTCTCTCTCTCTCTCTCTCTCTCTCTCACTCGCCATCTCCATCTCTCCCTCTCTCTTTCTACTCTCTCTCTCGCTCTCTCTCGCTCTACTCTCTCCCTCTCTCTCGCTGTCTCTCGCTCTCTCTCTAATGATGACGTTCCACCAGAGGCAGCAGCATGTGTGCAGAGAAAAGCAGAGCTGCAACAGTACGTACGTGTGATCGCCCCAAGGACACAACCCCACTGTCCCATCCTCTCCTCCCCTGCTTATTACAACACCCACCTGCAGTGGCCAACACAACAACACAGTCAGTTGTAGTAACCCAGTGAAAGCAGCTTCACGCATCGCGTCGACGCACTCTCACCTTCCTCCTCCGAAACATGGCGCCGTTGACCAGCACCTACCGATGTGTCCGGGCTGCTCAGAGCACGGTGATCCAGCCAGCAGACTTTCACAGAAATCCAGGACGCCCAGTTCTCCCAGTGTGAGCTAGTAAGATTCTCTTGCTGGCGTCGTTTCAAAAGCTGACAACAAACCCTGCTGCGTGGTCCAAATCTCAGCTGCCCATATGGCCCAAATCTGTCCATCTATTCTCCGTTAGCTGATGACAGGGTACTCGCTAACGGTGAGTAATTAGTCACGTGGGTTAGCGTGTAACATTTCTTGGCCCAGGTTCATAGCTGCTCAAACAGGACTGTGGAGGACCATAGAGGACCGTTTTGGTCCTGAAGAATGTTTGATGTGTGCGATGGATTTCAATCATACCATATCAAGAATAAACTGTGAATTATTGCATTAAAATAGTACAAATGTGAATTAGTTTACCTGCAACATGTTATAGGTGTCATAGGAACCATTATTGAGTCTGAGCTGCTTACTGTCGATGTGAAATCAATATCAGACAACTATTTCACTCCGATCAATATGTTGAGCTGATTGCAATGTTCCAACCGTAATAAACTTAACGGGTCGGATAAAATACAGGTCTATCAGGTGAAGTCCCTTTTATAAAGTGTATTACAGACTACAGTGCTGAGTTGAAAGTCTCACCTGTTTGTCCATAGTGGCTCTGCGTAGGGGCACACCAAGGGGGTCCGTGGGATGCATAGCACTTCCTGTGGTGTGACATGATCCATTGACTACAAGGGAAAATATCATAAATGTCATTGAGATGATTGACAGATTAAACCCGCTACTTACTGAATCAGTTCAGAACGATAAACACCCTGGGGAATATACAACTCCTTCATGTGAAGGACTGTGTATCAATCCATTATAGTGAAAAGGTCAGGTTGTGCTTATGTCTTAATGTGACATCTTAATGTTATACTCCCCCCTTATATTCCTTCCTTGTCCCAGCTCCAGTTCATCTCACTGGGCTACGGCTCACTACACAGCATATCTCATAGGTGTTTCAATCTCCTTCTCCCTCTGGCCAATAAGAAAACAATGGCCTTACAATAATGCCAACGGCCTTAAGGGAGATGTTCCTGTGTGTGTGTGTGTGTGTGTGTGTGTGTGTGTGTGTGTGTGTGTGTGTGTGTGTGTATGTCTGGGTTTGTGTGTGTGTGTCACAGCCCTGCATATGTCTATGGTAATATCCCTACTCACATCCTACAGGGTTCTAATGGATCCTCATCGGCCGTGATTCATGGCCTGTCCACTTGCTACATATCAAGGCAGCCCATTTCCAGCTGAAGGTAAACACATGAGCTAGAACATTATTACATCAGCATGACTCCTGAAGGAAGCTGAGCACCACAGCCATGTAAAGACATTACATAATAACCCCTGAGGGAAGCTGAGCACCACAGCCATGTAAAGACACAACATAATGACCCCTGAGGGAAGCTGAGCACCACATCCATGTAAAGACATTACATAATGACCCCTGAGGGAAGCTGAGCACCACAGCCATGTAAAGACATGACATAATGACCGAGTTCTACCTCACACATAATGGAGCAGGGACCAGGGGAATAGTGATCAGAGGGGGATACTGTGTTAGAGAGACATATACATAAATATATATCATGGAATCAGAACTACAAAAGTGTGTTGAAATGGAACAGTATGAAGTGTCACTAGGTGGGTATCTGCGGTGTCATCAACAGAATGCTCAGCCCCAGATAGGGAGCCCATGGCGTTGCCATCATACTCATTCTAGAGCCCATGGCTATCTCCATGAATGCTTTGCATTATCCAAGCAGACTGAGTTATGGACTCAGATACAGGCAGTGTAATCTGAGCCCACTTCCTGTTCAACACTACTTCGCCCTCTCTAACCTTACCCCCAATCCGCCCAATCTCTAACTTCCTGGGGCTCCTCACCAGTGCCGGGGCATCCGGAGCCCAGGGAGGAGCCAGGCTGGACTAGCCAGGCAGAGAGATCTCTCAACCTGGGCTTCATTACTGCCTGCCTCCCCTGGGAGGATTAGCCTTGTCTGGTCTGTATTGACAAATCCCTACAGCTGGATGTTCTCTCCCTGGTTGTTCTCCCAGTGTGTGGAGAGAACACGCCAGCAGTGGAATACCACCTACTGGCCTGGGATGGTGTTCCTCGGACATAATCATAGGCAGCACCTGAAATGCCCCTAAATAAGCCAACAAGGGTTCCAGCTAGCTAGGCCAAGTTAGATTGCTAAGGCTTCAGTTGTAGAGCTACTACACAGTGAAGAAGAGGAATTGCTATATCTATGTAGCAACATTTCTGGCACTTATTTAACTCGATAGATATGGTAGATTTAAATCAGAAGAGGCTTGATGTTACCTTCGGGTAAGGAGTTCCTTTGTGCCGGTGGTCTCACTGGGGTCCCATAAGAGGCAGAGGGCCGTTCCCATGTTGTTTCTGGAATGGTTAAAGCCATAGGAGACGTAAGGCACAATGGACACACAGTTCCACAGTTTCCCTGAACGCTGAATGAAACTCTAAAGAACACAGGGGGAGAGCACAACTATTGAGAAATGTTCAAAAAGTATTGTAGAGGACATGGTCACACGGCACTACAGCGAGCGACTACAGTGTACTCAAGGTCTGATAGTCAGTGTTCTCTTTCAGTTGAGAACAGAGAAACAGGAAGAGAATACTTTAAATGAAAAGTATTGAAATGAATGATTGATTTGCTGAAAAAACCTTTGAGATTCTTGACATGCTCTCAGAATGTTCCCGGGGCATCAAACATAATTCCAGTTAGTGGAGCAAGAAGTACTTTGACATCTGGACAGTGTTAGAGATGCTTTCTGACTATCAATCAGGCAGAGACACTGTATCTACAATGGAGATCTGATAACGTCGGTACATTACATGCTCTTGTGTAATAAAAGTGTTAGAATTGCTTGAAAATACAACTAAGTGCCCTTTAAAAATAACATCTCTAATCAGTGTAATTAAAAAACACATTTTAATCATTATGCAGTTGAATTAAAGTCCATAATAGAGTTCAGTATAATAATGCGTGTTACAGCATATGGTTTTCTAAAATAGCCCCTGGCTCTTTATCTCTGCTACAGTGTGTGGTGTGCCAAGGTGCAGTGTTCTGCCTGAGTGTTGGAGCTGCCGTGGGTGAATCCTGGCTTTGTCCTGTGGGAAACAGTCTTTCTCTCTGGCTCCTATGCCATTGAGGGGCACGCACACACACGCACACGCACACGCACACACACACACACACACACAGACAAACACACACACACACACACACACAGCTCTATCTGTGTAGTGCAGAATCATGCCACAAAATTAAAAGGTTCCGATAAGCATCTCTATTAAAGGTCGGCTGCCTATTAGCCCTGGTATTAAACAACATTGTGTTTTTTCTGTCTAGTAAACAGAGGTTGTTTAAATGTCATTACACAGGACGGCTCTGTGGAGTTCCTCAGAACACATAGGTTGAGCTGCTGAGGTACCTGTAGCAGTGGCTGCCATCACCACACATTTGGGCTAATCAGATTCAAGTGGATGAGATGTTAGGCCCTCCTTCAAATGAATGGGCTGGAGAGATGTTGATGATGGGGAATGGTAATGAGCTCTCTGAGCTGGCAGCATTTCACGGCAGAACTGGAAACTATGGTTACCAAACAAAACACTGACAAATGGAACTGATGGTTTCTGATTGAAAAAGATTTGAACCTATACACTGGAGAAGGCTGTTAAGCCTTCTCTCACATGAGTGAGCATGTCAGTAGGGTTGTGGTGGAGCTGTGTGCCTGGCTTACCTTTGCTGGCGGTGTTGACGTAGTACCTGCATCCCTCGGGTGACATGTAACATCTCCAGCCTTGGGGAAGAGGGACAGTCTTGATCTCATCCCCCGGTGCAGGGCTGGCAGCTGTTGGCTTCTGTCACAAACACACCACTCCTTTCACTACCAGATCATTCACATACGCTGGGACTGTTGCCCAGTCCTGCTCATATAAATGGTGAATGCAAATATTATTTGAGAAATGTTGATTTGGTTCTTTTTTTTTTTTTTTTTTCTGTAATTGATTTACCCACTTGATTAATCTACATAATATTCCATATTATGTATCTACATATCAAGGAGGGGCTGCATCAGCCTCTAATGTTCCCAATTAGCAGTGTCTGCTAATTTCCACCCAGTTACAGTACAAAGTACTCCCACATTTCTGAAGCAGGCTGATTGCAGGCACAGACACAGCTGTGTAGGAAATATCTGTTTTAATTAGTAGGAACAATGTAATAATGAATGTAATGATTAATTCAGGAAATATTGAACTGTGGCATGGCATTGGAAAGCTTGTTTGATTGTAGGCAGGGTGTTCTTTTCTTTGAATGATTCATGTGGTCGTGTCACGGATTCAGCCGATGTTGCTCCTCCTACTTGCTCGGGCAGGCTTCGGCGTTCGTCGTCACCGGAGTACTAGCTGCTACCGATCTATGTTTCTGTGTTCTACTTGTCTTGTCTTTATTGTTCACACCTGGTTCCCATTAGGTATTGATTACTTCCCTATTTAACCCTCTGGCTCCCACTGTATTTTGTGCGTGTTTGTTCATGTTTGGTTGTCGTCTGGTGAGCGGGATTGTTTCCTCCCTGCGTGGAGGTTATGTTATTTACGTTACCTACGAGTAAAGTACGTTTTCGATTAGCTCTGTGTCCTGCGCCTGACTTCGTCCTACCGCATCACACTGACACCTTGACAGAAACACACACCTTAAATGGAGTCAGCAGGTACATCCATTTCGTCCGGATCAATGGAGGAACGTGTCCAACAGCAGGCGACCATGATCCAGACTCTCGGCACCGCAATGGAGCGCGTGTTGAACACTATGGAGCGATGGGAGAGCGATGGGAGAGAGGTGGTTGTCCTACACCTCCTCCAACTACACAACCACCCACAACGCTGTCCACCCCTTCATCACCTGGGTCCAGTGGGATTCGGCTCTCGCTCCCGAGGGCATACGATGGTACAGCTGCTGGGTGCCAGGGTTTTCTGCTCCAGGTAGAGCTCTACCTGGCTACCATCCACCCGGCTCCCTCGGGATACAAGAGCGTGTCCACCCTCATCTCCTGTCTGTCGGGAAGAGCGCTCGAGTGGGCCAACGCCGAGTGGGGAGGAATAGACGCAGCGTCAGTACACTATGAGGATTTCACCCGCCGCTTTCGGGCGGTATTCGATCATCCACCGGAGGGGAGAGCGGCGGGGGAACGTCTATTCCACCTCAGACAGGGGAAGAGGAGCGCACAGGACTTTGCACTGGACTTCAGGACTCTGGAATTAGAGGGCCCTGATCGACCACTACCGATGCAGCCTCCGGGAGGACGTTCGTCGGGAACTGGCCTGCAGGGACACCACCCTTAACCTGGACCAACTGGTGGACATGTCGATAAGGCTGGATAACCTGTTGGCAACCCGCGGACGTCCGGATCAGGGGCCATCCATTCCATCCCCCAGCACCTCCGACCCTACTCCTATGGAGCTCGGAGGTGCTGCGCTTAGGGAGACCGGAAGGAGGGCCATCTCCTGCACCAACTGTGGCCGCGGAGGACACACTGCTGGTCGGTGCTGGGGAGGGTCTTTCAGGAGTCAAGAAGGTAGGCAGAGCACTGGTGGACCGTCTCAGGTGAGTAGGCACACGACTCACCCAGAGCTCCCTGTTGCACATATGTGTATTGATATTGTATTTCCAGAGTTTTCCCCTCATTCCCAGCATAAGGCGCTCGTAGATTCAGGCGCAGCTGGGAACTTTATTGATCGTCAGTTTTCCCGTAGTTTAGGGATTCCTATTGTTCCTGTTGATGTGCCCTTCCCTGTACATGCCTTAGATAGTTGCCCTTTAGGGTCAGGCCTGATTAGGGAGGTCACAGCTCCACTCTGGATGAAAAGGCAGGAGGGTCATGAGGAGAAAATTAGTCTCTATCTGATTGATTCTCCTGCGTTTCCAGTGGTGTTGGGGCTTCCCTGGTTAACTTCTCATGACCCCACGATTTCATTGCAACAGAGGGCTCTCAAGGGATGGTCAAGTCAGTGCTCGGGGAGGTGTGTAGGTGTTTCCATAGGGGCAACTATGGTGGAAAGTCCAAACCAGGTCTCCACCATGCACATTCCCCTCGAATATGCCGATTTGGCTCTCGCCTTTTGTAAAAAGAAGGCGACTCAATTACCACCCCCTCGACAGGGGGATTGTGCGATAAATCTCCAGGTAGGCGCTGCACTTCCCCGGAGTCACGTGTATCCCCTGTCACAGGAAGAGATGGCGGCTATGGAGACATATGTCTCCAAATCTCTGGGGCAGGGAAACATTCGGCCATCCACTTCACCTGTCTCCTCGAGTTTCTTTTTTGTGAAGAAGAAGGATGGAGGTTTACGCCCATGCATTGACTACCGGGGTCTCAATCAGATCACTGTCAAGTACAGTTATCCACTTCTGCTCATTGCTAGTATGACGGAGTCATTGCACAGGGCGCGCTTCTTCACAAAATTGGATCTCAGGAGCGCGTACAACCTGGTGCGTATCCGGGAGGGAGATGAGTGGAAGACGGCATTTAATACCACATCTGGGCACTATGAGTACCTCGTCATGCCGTACGGGTTGATGAACGCTCCATCAGTCTTCCAATCCTTTGTAGATTAGATTTTCAGGGACCTGAACGGACAGGGTGTAGTGATGTATATAGATGATATTCTCATATACTCCGCTACACGAGCCGAGCATGTGTCCCTGGTGCGCAAGGTGCTTGGTCGACTGTTGGAATATGACCTGTACGTCAAGGCGGAGAAATGTCTGTTCTTTCAAAAGTCTGTCTCCTTCCTAGGGCACCGCCTGTCCGCGTCAGGGGTGGTGATGGAGATTGACCGCATTTCGGCTGTGCGTAATTGGCCGACTCCAACCACGGTTAAAAGGGGGGGCAGCGATTTTTAGGGTTTGCCAAGTACTACCGGAGGTTTATCCGGGGCTTTGGTCAGGTAGCGGCTCCTATTACCTCCTTGCTGAAGGGGGGACCGGTGCGCCTGTAGTGGTCAGCCTAGGTGGACAGGGCGTTTGGTAACCTGAAGGACCTGTTTACCTCGGCTCCGGTGCTGGCTCATCCGGATCCCTCCTTACCATTCACAGTAGAGGTGGATGCATCCGAGGCTGGGATAGGAGCTGTACTGTCTCGGGTACGCCACCAAAACTCTGCCCCTGTGCTTTCTTCTCGAAGAAGCTCAGCCTGGCGGAGCGCAACTATGATGTGGGGGACCGGGAGCTGTTAGCTGTAGTTAAAGCTCTGGAAGTGTGGAGGCATTGGCTTGAGGGGGCTAAACACCCTTTTCTCATTTTGACTGACCACCGCAATCTGGAGTACATCCGGGCAGCGAGGAGATAGTTTTTCACTCGTTTTGTGTTCACACTTTCTTACAGACCAGGTTCCCAGAACGCTAAGGCAGATGCCCTGTCCCGACTGTACGACACAGAGGAGAGGTCCATTGAGCCCACTTCCATACTTCCGGCGTCGTGTCTGGTGGCACCGGTGGTGTGGGAGGTTGACGCGGACATCGAGCGGGCGTTACGTACAGAGCCCACTCCCCCCAGTGTCCAGAGGGTCATACGTTCGTGCCGTTAGAGGTCCGCGATTGATTGATCTATTGGGCTCACACGTCACCCTCCTCTGGTCATCCTGGCATCGGTCGGACAGTGCACTGTCTTAGTGGGAAATACTGGTGGCCCACTTTAGCCAAAGACATTAGGGTTTATGTTTCCTCCTGCTCGGTGTGCGCTCAGTGTAAGGCACCTAGACACCTGCCCAGAGGGAAATTACAACCCCTACCCGTTCCACAATGGCCGTGGTCCCACCTATCTGTGGATTTTGTTACAGACCTTCCACCGTCACAAGGGAACACCACGATCCTGGTCGTTGTGGATTGGTTTTCTATGTCCTGCCGTCTCATTCCTATGCCCGGTCTCCCTACGGCCTTACAGACTGCGGAGGCCCTATTTACACACGTCTTCCGGCACTACGGGGTACCTGAGGATTTTGTATCTGATCGGGGTCCCCAGTTCACCTCAAGGGTCTGGAGGGCGTTCATGGAATGTCTGGGGATCTCGGTCAGCCTGACCTCAGGTTTTCACCCCGAGAGTAATGGGCAGGTGGAGAGAGTGAACCAGGATGTGGGTAGGTTTCTGCGGTCCTATTGCCAGGACCGGCCGAGGAGTGGTCAGGTTTTATCCCCTGGGCAGAGATGGCCCAAAACTCCCTCCGCCACTCCTCCACTAACCTTACTCCATTTCAGTGTGTGTTAGGTTATCAGCCGGTCCTGGCACCTTGGCATCAGAGCCAGATCGAGGCACCTGCGGTGGAGGAGTGGTTTCGGCGCTCGGAAGAGACCTGGAACGCTGCCCATGTACACCTCCAACGGGCCAACGGGCCATCAGGCGACAGAAGGCGAGCACCGACTGCCACCGCAGTGAGGCTCCGGTGTATGCACCGGGGAACCGGGTCTGGCTCTCGACCCGAAACCTGCCCCTTCGCCTGCCCTGCCGGAAGCTGCGTCGGCGGTTTGTGGGGCCATTTAAAGTCCTGAGGAGATTGAACAAGGTTTGTTATAGGTTACAGCCTCCTCCTGAGTGTCGTATTAACCCCTCGTTCCATGTGTCTCTCCTCAGGTCGGTGGTAGCTGGTCCACTCCAGGAGTCTGAGGTACGGGAGGTTCCTCCGCCCCCACTGGACATCGAGGGGGCACCGGCGTACTCGGTCCGTTCCATCCTGGATTTGAGGCATCGGGTGGGGGGCCTGCAGTATCTCGTGGAGTGGGAGGGGTACGGTCCGGAGGAACGGTGCTGGATCCCTAGGAGGGACATCCTCGATCCCTCCATGTTGAGGGATTTCCACCGTCGTCAT